AATACCTACTAAAATTCACATATACTTTTTTACTAACAACACTAACCCTAAACCCTAACCTAACCCTAAAAAAACCCTAACGAAAAGGCCCGAAAATTTTTTAAAATTTCTAATAAACTAGATCAAAATTTCAGCATCATCCGATAGCATCATCCCCGAATATTATTAATAATGACCATATTCTATTCGTTTAGATATACCCATTTATATCGTGGAGGATCAATTCAATTTATCTCTCTCAACCAAGTAAAAGGTGCAGCACGTTATAGTGGAGGTTGGAACAGGGGAGGCCCTTATATAGTCTATTTTTGTTCACAATTTAACATCAACGCCACGGAGTTTAAGACCTGGCGGAGTACTGAATATTTTCGATCTAAAGATTCAGAAAACTTTGATGGAACTCAATTTGGTGGCGTTGATGGAGTTATTTTAACGTTTAATACTACTAGAAATTCGGTAATCATATCAAAAGTTGGAATTTCATTTATTTCGGTTGATCAAGCTTGTAGTAATGCTGAAAATGAGATATCGGATTGGGATTTTGAAAAGACTAAGCAAGAAGCCGTAAAGGCTTGGCAAACGGAGTTGGAAAAAATATATGTTGAGGGTGGTTCTGATGAGTTAAAAACTATTTTTTACAGTGGCTTATACAGAACAATGATTATGCCTAGTGACAGGTGTGTTTTATTATTTTATCAATATACATATATATATTTAACATCTTACTAAATTTATGTTTATATATAGAACTGGCGAAAATCCAAAATGGAAATCATTTGACAACAACGGTAATCTAATACCGCATTATGGTGATTTTTATACTTTGGTATGTTATTTATTGTTAAAGTTGAAATTTACTGAAGTTGAGATTGGTTGGCTGAAATAGAGAATTGTAAGTTGTGAATTGGGTCTATTTAGTATGATATTTTTGAGCATTTTTTTCTTATAGTTAAGTTAGGAAGTAGGTTAGATTTGGTTTATAAAGGGTAATATTTTGATTCTCAACTTCAATCAACTTCATCTTTAGACTTAATATTATCTTACAAAATCTGAAAAAAAGGCTAATTAAATAAATTATTAAAATTAATAGTGGGACACATTTAGGTAAATCAAAATTTCATAATTTAAATATTATGACATGACTGTAAGGTAATCAGTGAATGTAAATATAGAACGACAAACCCATTATTCACGCTTTTCCAACAAGAACGAGCCGTAGACATTGTTAGATCATTGATTGATATGTATGAAAATGAAGGATATATGCCTGATGGAAGAAGTGGATTATCGAATGGGATTACGCAAGGTGGATCTAATGCTGATATGGTTGTGGTAAGATTTAAACATTGATAGCTTTTACTAGATAATATAACATCTTATTTTATTATATCACTTTATACTGTAACAGGCGGAAACTTATTTAAAAAAATTAGGTACTAATGTAATTGATTGGGATCTCAATTGAATCTACCACTGGAAATTGACTTATTACACCATATTTTGGTTCACCTGCATTTTCATTTTAACCCGCTCATGAGTGGAATGATAACGCATAAATAATAAATATTATATCTATTCCTAACTTACCTCCTGTCCCACTGACATGCAGGTCTTTACAAATAATTAATAATCGATTAATAAGACTGTAATTGGCATATCGATACACTATTTATCGACATCCAAAATACATAGCAAATACATACGAGAAATTCCTGTGATATTGCCTCTAGTAGTGTACCTATAAAGGTAAATTACAAAAAATTTCGCTTAATGTTCTTTTTATTTTTTTTTTAACTAGCAACGAGATATTCTTACCCAGCATGAAAATCGTTCAAGTCATTAGTATCAAAGCCTAATTTAACGACGCCAAAAGGATGGCATGGGCCGGGAAACACATGACCATCTATACATGATCCAAATTTTGTTAGCGATAAAAAAAAGAAATAATACTGTAATTCGATCTAAAGATGAGCAGATAAAGAATTATTCTATAGGGATATTAATTAGTGATGGGCAATCCAAAATTCACGCGCGTGATTCGCGGGATAGATTATCAACCAACCGCAATCTTGCTCGTCTTTGATGTCTTCCCGGTTTTTCTCTGAAAATTTCAGAATGTATGCCGTAAATTCCGGCCGGATTATGCGGATTTGGGTCAAAATCCCGAAAAAAACATAAAACCGAAAAATTTAGCTATAATGCTGGTTGATTTAGTCAGTGTTATTGTTCTTCAGGAATCTGTTTTTCGGGATTTTGACCCAAAATCGGATTATAACACTGGCCTGAGTTATACAATTTATCTCGCGTATCATATGCGTGATCACACGAGCTGCCCATCACTAATATTAATTTTAAGTCTCACTTGAAAAAAAAGAAATCGAATTAAGCAAATTAAGCAACCAGTTTAAGTAATCGAATAAAAAAAAACCATATAGCAATAATTATCCGGACTATCGGTACTTTATCGTTATGTTAGCTGTGCAGATCACACACAAGAGCTACGCAATGCCCATCTCATTTCTAATCAAAGTTAAATTATAAAAAAAAATTACCCTTGGCAGTTCCAATTAAAGTATTAACAAACTTTGTAATATTTTGACTTTCGTTTGATGAAAAATATTTAAATAAGTTCGGGTTTTGATAATTTATAGATCTTATAAACCCATGTATAGACAAACTTAAAAATAGTGTTAAAATCAAAAGACTGAATATTATTAAAAGTTTGTATGTTTTTAGAGCTAATCGCCTATTCATCGTTAACGACGAAAGAATAACTAATATAAATTGGGAATGCTTTTTTTCTTTCTATACTATATTCAACATGAGCATAGTACTTAAATGTAGCCTCCCTAAATACACAATTACAGTTTTACCAGTGTACAAATTTTTTTTATAATATGATTGGTTAATATGATTTGTTCCTCAAAGCATGTAAGTTGTTATGCATAATATGAAAGATTATTGAAATTTATTTTTTTATTTATTTGTATTATTGTGACAGGGTTTTTGTCCCTCATCGAGGGACGTTACAAATGAAAAGCAAATGTGAAAAGCAAATATGGGAAAAAACCTCATAGGCAGACATTCGTATGATTGGCAGTTTATACCAATTTAATTTTACATTATTTATACAGTTTAAAGTACTTTTTAAAAAAAATAAAACTACTACGAATAAACAAAAAAGAAGTATATAGAAAGTTTTATTAGGGTTGTAGGACTCCACTATTAAAAATAATCAAAATTCTTTTTTGTTTTAGAGAAGTTAGCATAATAGCGACTTCTTAAAATTAGGTTATCACCATGCTAACTTCTCTAAAACAAAAAAGAATTTTGATTATTTTAATAGTGGAGTCCTACAACCCTAACAAAACTTTCTATATACTTTTTTGTTTATTCTTCGTAGTTTTATTTTTTTTAAAAAGTATATAAATAATGTGGCAATCATACGAATGTCTGCCTATGAGAAAAAACCCATTCCCCTTAAATACTATTAACGATTACTAATCTCAAATACTACGCCATTACGTCATAAATCACATACGAAATCATATAATGCATCAAACGGCATCAAACCACAAAATCATACGATAATGCATCAACAATCAATTACCGGTACTATATATCCGTGATCGATTCGAGACAAAATACTGCTCCGATACTTTCGTATCGGGCAGCTAATAAGCGATATAGGTTAGACTAGGCTGTCCAGAATTCTCAATTGCAAAATTTGTGTTGCATTTGCAGTATCCGTAATTAAATAATGTACTTCTATTGATTCGCTTTTATTGATTATTTGAATTTGCAGAATTTGAGGTGGAGCATATTGTTGGCTCGAAGTAATACCTGACGATGATTGCCTTAAGCCAATTAAGCTACCAAATAATATTAGTAGTGTCGGCCGGATTAGCTGCAAAAATCTGGATAAAAAATAATGAAGAATTCTGGATATCCTAGGTTAGACTATACCGAATATCTGGTTCAGGGTTTTCAAAAATCGCACACTCTTTTAATTATTTATATTGTTTATTTATTATTAGGGATAAGGTGCATATGGGCGAATATACGGTGTTACCCCCGCATCCACTTATTTGCGCGGGTAATACAAACCTCTAAAAAGGAAATGGCCAATCAGAGAACACAAATTTTGGATATTCCGACATAGAATCCCAACACGCGCTAAAGAAGAAAAAAGAAAAGAAAACGAAAATACTTGAAAACTAGTGTTTAAAACGGCATTGGTGGACTAATAAAAAAATGACGGGGATGAAATAAAAAAAAACCAACTTATTGCTGTAGCCCCTAACGTTTCAATCCTAAACTTCGATTTCCTTTTTTGGTTTGTATTACCCGCACAAATAAGTAAAATCCATATTAGGCATTAAAGGCATAATGCAATATACTTTTATTAGTAATAATCAAACAAGGTAAAGCGTCGTGTTAATGCAGGGGCTTTGAGAAATGGATAAGAATAATTTATAGTATAAGGAAAATTTGTAATATGCTAATAGATATCTTGAATAATTATATTAAAGCAGTAAGTATATACAGGTGAATCGTCCAAAGTTGACATGTATAATAGACAAATTTTGTTTGGAGGTTATCGATTTGAATTATTAGATTGTATAACAGAAATAGACTTGGTAAATTACTTACTTAGTTACTAAACTAAATTATTTTATTCAAGTATTTGTTAATCAGTTGAGATTAACTATCTCTACTTTTAGTTCATCTTTAGAAATTTTCAGAGCTTTGTTTGTCTCAATTTGTTCATATTTTATGTTTATTTATTTTTTTTTCAGAACTTTTTAGAGCTTTTGTTCTTTTTTTATATCATTTTATACCTTTCTAACCAATTACCTAATTTTCAACTATATATATCAGATCAATTAATTAAAAAATTTCTCAAATAGTCAATTGAAATTTATTTAGTTTGGATCAATTAACCAATTATAAATCAACTAACTTAAATTACTATATACAATTTACTGTATTATACTAAACAAATTTTTATAATATTTATATTTAGCTTATTTAATAAAATTTTTTTTTAATATATAGTAATTATAATAACTAATTTTTTAAAATTACTAATTTTTATTTGAAAGTTTTAAATAATAACAGTTTTCTAATAAATAACTAGAATTTTTGTAGAGCTATATAAACTAGATATAGTCAATCTCTTTAATCTAAACTTTTCTAATTCAACACTATTAAATTTTCTTTAATCTGAACCTAAACATTAAGGCATTTGTAAATTTTATTATAAAGTTCAAATTAATATATAATGCCTCTTTGAGAACTAAACTTTTAATTAATTTTTCATATAAAAACAGATGAGTTGAATTAGAAAAAATTAACTATATATAGTAATTAATATAAAAGACAATATTATAAATATTTTAGATTATATACAGATAGGTAATAAAAAGAATTTTATACCTAAGAACTTGGCCTATAATTCAAAAGCTTACTAATAATTTTAGCTTTAATTTATTTATCTAAATCTATATCTCTTTGTGATTATATAATATTATTTTTAATTTAAAATTTTGATAAGTGATTGTGTATTTTTTTTTTTTTTTAAATTGCTTATATGCTGTAATTTTTATAATTAAGATTTTAGAAACTTATTATATATCATTGAACAACAAAAATAAAGTTTTCTCTTTCAAATATTTCTTATCAGATTAGAAATAATTAAAGTTGTTAATATAGTAAAAACAATATTTGAAACTATAAAGAACAATGAGAAGATTATTAAAGTCTCAATTAACCTAGCAACTAATAGAAAAGTTGTTAATATCACTTTCGATAACTCAATGCTATTAGCAAAAGTTGTCTTAGATAATAACATTAGTGAAATTATAGATTTGGAGGCAAGTTATTTTAAAAAAATAGGCAATAATCACTTGGAATTATTTATAATTATAATAATTTAAAGAATATATTAATCAAAAAATATTTTTTTTTTTAAAAAAAATACAACCTTATCATAATAATTTTCACTACTAAAAATTAAATATAAAATTTGCTTTAATTATATACACTATACATTTATATAATTTAACTATACTTACTCTAATTTAACCCTAATTTGTACTTTAAATCTGCCTAAATTTTTTATTCTAATTTGGCTAAATTTATACTTTTAATTTGGATCAAATTCATTATTCAATCTAGTTCTAATTCATATTCAAATTTTGATAATGAGAAATTAGCAAATATTCTCTTCAATAATAACACTTTAATATTCTTATGTCTTAAAAATTGTTTTCTGATATTTTTTTCTTAATAAATCAAGATAAATTTAAATATTTATTTTTTGTATATTTCTTATTTTTTACTTTTTTTTTTGTTTGCTTTATCTATATAAACAACAAATGCTTAAGAGTTATTAAAATATAATCAAAAAAATAAAATTCTAAACTTTGTAGTTCACACACTAACTAAAATAATTTATTTATA